ATAATCAACTTTAATATTCAGTGAAGACCATTAGAGTACATTTTATATGATGGGGGTGGTAAGGGACCTGGATAATGGGTAGGGGGGCGCTGGCCCAAAAAAGGTTGAGAACCACTGTTATAAGGGGTCTGACCTCGTCTAATATGGTTTTGACAAGAATATCTACCTTTTCACCATCAAACACGCTCACGCGGTTTCAGTGAATGTGATTAATAGTGAAACGGGGGCCGGTTTAAGGCTTATGGTGACTAATGGATCTTAAGCAGATGGAAGGGTATAAATGCTCTTAGTGCGTCTCTCCGTGATTCACTTTCGACACAGCTCTTGGAAATCAAACACGTGTGAAGGACATTTGAATATTAGTAATTAATTTATTTAAATCACCAAAGAGAATTTAAAACAGCGAAAATGTCAGAAGTTAGCGCACTGCCTTTCCTGAAGCCCATCCACATGAGAGCTCCGATCTCCCCCGGCCGCCAGCGCCGGCACACGCTCCCTGCCAGCGAGTTCCGCTCGCTCAACACTGAGGACGCCATCAGTGTATTCGAAATAGAGAGAGAGGGTGAGATAAATCATGGTTTTTCATTTTGTGGATCTTCTTATACAGTAGCCTAGTTATTTGTGAGTATGAAAAAATTACCCAAGAGAAAAACAGTAACGACTTATTTTAGTGTTGAATGTGTTACAATTTGAATTAAAAAAAATGCATTTGGTTAGGCTATGTGACTGGTGTGTTTTTGTTTTCTAAAAGCTATTTTCTCGTTTTATCTCTCAGCTTTTATATCTGTGTCTGGGGAATGTCCTCTTCACCTGGATGAGGTCCGGCACTTCCTAACCCTCTGTCCTGAGCTTTCTTTGGGCTGGTTTGAACAGGGGAGGCTTGTCGCTTTTATCATTGGATCGCTCTGGGACCAGGACCGTCTAACCACTGTAATCTAATCTTCTAATCATGTATTCATTATTGTCAGAAACGAATGATTAAAAAGTGATATGCCTGTATTATTATATTTGAATTTTTAACATGTAAAGACGTGTAATTAAGTTTCTTATAATTACATAACTAATATCAGTTATCTATTTTAATAGGATGCATTAACCCTTCATAAGCCTCATGGAACTACTGTCCACATCCATGTGCTGGCAGTCCACCGGACCTTCCGCCAGCAGGGAAAAGGATCTATCTTGCTGTGGCGTTACCTGCAGTATCTGCGCTGTCTACCATATGTCCGCCGCGCCGTGCTCATGTGTGAGGACTTCCTGGTGCCTTTCTACCAGAAGTCTGGCTTTAAGGGGCAAGGTCCTTCTGAAATCACCGTAGGGCCACTTACCTTCATCGAGATGTATTATCCTATAAGGGGACATGCATTCATGCGCCGTAACAGTGGCTGTTAAGGGATCATTAGTCATGTAGCTCTTTGGACCTTCAAAAGAAGCAGTGGGTGTGTTGAAGCAGCTTTTGGTTTTGGTCTAGATATCTTGTGGTGTAGTGCTGTTTGCATCTACTTTTGTAAGCCTTGGTGAGCATAGCAAAAAAAAATGTTAGATGTTAAAAATATTTGGACAGAGCAAACTGTATCCCACTCTCTTATCTAAAAGTGATGGCTAAAAATATATTTTTTGTTATATATATATATATATATATTCATCATGTCAAAAAAGTTTTTTTTGCCTCAAAGTCAGGTTATCTAATAGACTAGGTTTATATTTATTGTTTTTTATTTTGTATTATATTTGGCATGTATTTCTCTAGATTACTTTTTTTTTTTATTACTCATACACATTTTTAAATTCATGACAGATCTCCTGTTGTGTTGTGAGTTTGGGGGTCAAGGCTGTAAAGATAAGGTAGTGGTTCAACAGTTAACTGTTCTACTTTGGGCTAGTTTTTGTGTTCAGTGGCTGCTTTAGATGTGTGTCTGTTCTATGGAAGCATTAAAATAGCATCAACTGAACACTTTTCCACTGTGATCTCTCATGAAAACAGCCCCAAGAGAACATACATTGTTGTCTGTTATGTCTGTGAGTGCCAATGTGACAAATGTTTAATATACAATCCCATAAACATGAGAAACTTGTATTGTGTTGGTTAAGCGTTAGTACAATTTGATTTATAGATTAGAATTACTTGTTTACTTGCTTCATAGCAAAGGATTGAAGAGTTAATGTTCGATGTGCAGAGGTGTTGCAAAACAGAAATCATTCCGAAATGTATGAGATGATTAAGACTGTTTCCATTTGCCTTTCCCTGTAGAAATCCACCACCTATGCCTTCACAGTCTTGAATCAAGACATCTATGATTTTTTGTACATTTTGAAAAGAAAATAAAGAAATAAAGAATCTATTTTTCAGAATGATTGCTCTTTGAACTCTTTGTGTAAATGTCTGTAGTGTTCACAGGGTAATGATTCTGGATTAACAATGAATTTATTTGTTAAATAAGGAACAGAGAATGTCACATTAAAAAAAACTTTTATTTTTTTTTAAACAAAAAAAGTGTGAAGGACATCAATATAAAGACATTTGTTTTACAAAAAATTTAAATTTTAAACCATTTTTATTAGTATTACTTGAAGCACTATTTATTTGGTTCACCTCCAATCATATTTGTACACCTTCAACACCTTTAAATATAACAAAAATATTCCAGATTGTCAGATTCAAGAGAACTCCTGTAGTCTTTTAAGGCACAAGTGCTGTCCTCCGTAAACAATTATGCTCTGAATATCAATTAGAACAACAGCTGAATTTGACATTGATACAACAATAAAAGAAGACCACAAATCCATTCTTGTGCCAAATGAATACACGCATGATTTAATGCATGCAGTGTACATATTAACATTAATAGCTGGTTGTAAACAAACTCCTCTGTTGAGTGCAAAACAGGATCTCTATTCTGAGCAAAAAAATATAGATAAAAAGAATGATAAATTATATGACTTATGAAATGTGAAATGCACTAAGAAGTGAAATGACTAACAGAGCCTACTATTCAGAAAATTACTGCCACATCTATATCATTTCCTTTTTAGTTGTCTGAGGACATGCTTGTAATCCAGAAAAAGAAGAATGGTAAGATACACTAGTGTGTTCATTAATGTGGAACTAGATTTTACTAGCCTAGCCAGAGGTTTACAGCTGTCTACAGAAGTACAAAAAGTGACCTAAGGATAAAGTATTCTTTTGAATGTCACTGAAGTTTCAACAAAAAAACGTCATCATTCATAGCCAGTTCAGTGAAATGACTCTAAAAGATTCTTATTTTATATGAACCTTATGTAGTTCACTGAAATGCTCTTTGGACAAATACAAACAGCTGAAGTACCAGGAAATTAATCTTTATGTAAATGGTATTTTATATTTCAATGTTTGTTAGTGTGAAGTTAACAGTAAAAATTTAACAAGCATGTCTTTAAAAGTGTAAGCACATATGAAAAGACAGTATAAAGCTCACTGTTTCCACAAACAATAATTTTGGAAGGACATTTGGTGTTAGACATTTTAATCTAAAGGGACATAGTACAGGCTTCAGTAACAACACATAGTTTACCTGCAAATTATCCTGAAATGTTCAGAACTGCTTTGGGAATAAATTGACTATTGTACATTCTACTGGTTACAAAGGTGCTAAACCTCAAATCTAGCATGACATTATTTGCTGTTTTACTGAGTGTTGATGATTTAACTCAGTCCCTTGCAGTCCTTAGAAAATTCTTTAGTCTACAAAAATCAAGGTTAGTGTACCACATGATCAATGTCATAGCGTTCACAGAACTTGCTGGTAAAAGGCAAGCAGGTAAGATGCTCTAACCAATGCCAGTTTATAGGGTAAATGTAGAACCAGACAATAAGTGAAGACATCAACCCTACATAGACAAGCAGTGACAACAAAATAAGAGCTCGTTTGCGGTACTTGTCTAAGGTGCCAAACGCGACATATGGAAGGAATGTAAAGGACAGGAGAAGACCACTGAGGAAGCCAAAGATGTGAGCAACGTTGTCAATCCAGGGCAGAAGACCACAGAAGAAAAGGAAGAGAACAATGCCTAACAGCTTCAGGAAGGCCTTCCATGGCTTTTCCAACATCTGCCAGGCCTGGAACAGCTCCACAAACAGACAGGCTAACAAACCGAACTGAGACCCTGCTGGACCAACCTATAGTATAAGAAAAAAGATTTTCATGTTCAATATCACAAATTATGAAAGCACATACCTTCAAGACAATTAATGCTAGTGATGCTGTAATCTTTTGACAAAATTTCAATCAGGCACAATTTAAATGAATAGTTAAATCTTTCTTTATTTCGGTCATCGATGGAGTTTTGATTCCTTGCCACTGTCACCTTTGGCTTGCTTTGTTGGGGATGCTTAATTTCTGGCAATATTGTTGGCTTGATTGACTGCACAGACATTATTGGATGATGACATCACTGAATCATCAATGAACTGACTTTAACTGAAAAATTTACTTTGTTATTGTCCTCTTGTATGATTGACAAACTATTTTCCTGTTTGACACTGTAAAGCTGCTTTGACACAATCTTTATTGTATAAAGCGCTATATAAATAAAGGTGACTTGACTCGACTTTCTTAAAAAATAAATAAATAATTTACCCAAAACTGAAAATTTAGCCTCCTTAGCATGTCACTCCAAACATCTATAATTTCAGATAAAATAATTTTAGTGGAATATCCAGGTTATTTTATGGCTTCTAAAATCATAGATAGTTTTGTTTGAGGAAAAGTCTAAAATTGAAGTCAATGTTCACTGAAAATATTCCCTTCAACATATACTTACTTCTTTGTTTGCATACATTTGAAAGCTTCATGTACTCAACACCATATAAAGTAACAAAGGAGGAGAAGAAACTACAGACAAATTTAACTGTTTCTTGCAAGTATTAAAGACCCGGATGTAACTGGGGGAGAACAGCTCATACCATGCTTTTTGTACCATGCACTCTACCTAAGTCCTGCTATAGTGCTTCATCTTTTTCTTTTAGCACTAGTCCATAGTATGCAACAAATAATAAGGAGGGACTCCTTCACAGATGAGCTTCCACTACTCATTAGCATTATCGAACCAAGGCCAAAGTAGAGCACCCATCCAAAGTGGGGCGATATCCCTACTTCAAGACTCAACAGTAGTTGCGGAGGGAGGTAAACTAAGCAGAGGGAATCTATACTGCCGTTCTGCCATCAACTCTTAAGGCCATCCAAAGGGTAAGTGTGTCTCTCCCTATGGAAGCACCCTACCAAAGGGGAGCACATCCATTCTTCAAGACCCAATACCAGTTGGGAAGAGAGGAAAACGAAACAGAGGGATTATTGTGGGTCGCTGATCATAGTTCCTTTCACCCTGCTCTACCCTTAGGGGGTACTTGAGCAACCTTTTAAAAGGATGTGCTTAAACACCTCAGTTTAACTGGGGGAGAGCAGGTCAAATCCTGCACTCTATACCTAAGACCCACTATAAATAGTGATTCATCTTTTTCTTTAAGCACTATACCATAGTATGTGACATATAACAAGGAGGGATTACCTGCAGGTGAACTTCCTCTACTTATAGCGATATCCTGACTGCAAGAACCAAGAGTAGCTAGGGAGGGAGATAAACAAAGAAGAGGCAATCTTTACTTCCCTACATAACACTGTCCACCTTGCTCAACCATTAGCCTAACTAGTGGGTTTCTGGCCACTCAAGCCTTTTCTTTCTTTTTGGTAAATCATTAAATTGGTTTGCGCCATCCTACCTTTCTGATATCTTGCACATACACAAGCCCCTAAGTCTCTGATCAGATGACTTTGAATGTTTCTAGGTCTAGACTGCTTCAAACAGGACAAAAAAAATCATACTACAAGTAATACAATCATATGACTTGTGCACTTTACACACAAGTTTTCTAAGATTACATAATGTTTCATGAAGAAAGGATGCTCATGCCTCTTCTGTTGTGTTTGCAGTATGAATCTTTTTCACACTTCTGCATGTTAAAACCACTCATTCAGCATAGCGTTAGTTCAGGCAGGCCACGTCAGTCAAGCTCGCATCAGCCGACAATCAGCTGTTCCTGACGTGTACCAATCCAGTCCTGACACCTATCACAAGCGGTCTATTTAAATTCCCATTCTTCAGCGTCTCTTCCATCGCATCACTGCTTGCAGTTAACTCCCTCCTCCAACCCCAACTCCACCTAACTGAACCTGTATTCGATCTGACTTTTGTTTCTTCCTTTACCGTCACTTCATTGGAAGCATTGTTTACAACTTATGTAATTGTGAATTGTAATTATGTATGCATATAATGGTTCTGTTCTGTTGGGGGGGGGGGGGGGGGGGGTTTTTCTTCTCTCCCCTGCATGGACAGGCAGAACCATACCGCCAACACTAACTGTATGCAATATAATTGTAATAAATATACATGACGAAAGTGGTCCTGATTAAATTAAAGGGTTAGTTCACCCAAAAATGAAAATTAACCCATGAATTAACCCCCCTCAAGGCATCCTAGGTGTATATGACTTTCTTCTTTCAGACGAATCCAGTCAGTTATATAAAAAATTGTCTTTGATCTTCCGAGCTGTTTAATGGCAGTCAGAGCAAATAAACGCATCCATCCAAGTGAAATAAAGCACAACGCCGACATCTTATGTCATCCTCCCGGAGCTGCTTCAGTGTACGACTGTTGGGGCAAACTAGATTAAAGTGATTATTACGTTTTGAATATAGATATTTTTCTTACAAAAACGCATCAATTTGCTATAGGAGGCCTTTGTTCACCCCCCGGAAGCACTTTTTTTATTATGGATGGATGCACTTTATTTAACTTCTTTTGGACTGAAGCACTGCAACACCCGCTGACTGCCATTAAACAGCTTGGAAGATCAAAGTCAATTTTTAATATAACTCCGATTGGATTCATCTTAAAGAAGTGGTGGTGTGCGGTGGTGTTTTAAAATGAGGAGGCAGTTTTATATATAAATATATATTTATATATAAATATTACATAAAAAAAAGAACAAATATCATTCTATTTTGTATTTTATTAATATAAATTTTTTTTATTTAATATTTTTAATACTAATTATACATTTCATAGTGTTTATGCATTTTTATATTTATTCCAAAATAATAACTAAAGGCAGTAATTTGAACAGTATTCTGGAAACAGTTCACAATAAGGTTTCATTAGTTAACTACTTTAGTTAACATGAACTAAGAATAAACAATAGCCTACTTCTACAGCCTTTATTAATCTTAGTTAATATTAATTTCAACATTTACTAATGCATTATTAAAATCAAAAGTTGTTTGTTAACATTAGTTTATGCACTGTGAACTAACATGAACAACTGTGTAACAAAGTTTGTAGTTCGGGAAGGAGGAGGCGGGAACCGGTGAACGTTTAAACAAAACCTTAATAATAAAAAACACAAAACAGCGCGACAGCCCCTCACGGACGACTGCTGCACACAAACAGAACCAAAACACAAAATAAAGTCCAGGCCTGGTCCTCTCTCATCCAACACTGTCGTCACTCCTCCTTTTATCCTTCCGGAGCTCCTCCGTGGGACTCGAGACCAGTGAGTGGCGCAGGTGTCACGCATTAGCATTTACTCCACTGGCCTCGCTCCGTTCCCACGGCTCTTGGCCCCGCCCCTCTCGTCACATACCCCCCCAGACGAGGCGAGAGAAAAGGAGACGGAAGGATGAGGAGAGACAGAGAAGAGAGGAAGGAAAAAAAATAAATCTTGTTCCGGTTCCCAGACACACTGCCGCTCGACCCTCCACCAGCTCGGTAAACTCTTCCGCGATGCCAGGCGGCGGCACTGGACAGCCCTCGGTGGATGGCCCAACACTCCTCTGCCACCCAGTGGACAGCGATGGCTCCTCCGGATTCGGGGCAGCCGGCAGGAGTCCCCCGTTCCCTGCTCCTCCCCTTCATGGCAGATGGCAGCAGGCTCCGACCTCAGGCGAACGGTGGCGACTCCTCCGCTCCCTCACGGATGACAGCTGTCCCTCCACAGCCCAGGCAACTCACTCCAGCCCACCGTCTCGAGCGTCCATGGCGGCAGACTGCTCCGTCATGCTCGATGGCACCGCGGATTCACCACAGCGGCGAGGGATCTCTGGCAGCGTGTCCTTCTTTCCTCCCGGGTTTCGACCGGTGAGTGGTGCAGGTGTCGCGCATTAGCATTTACTCCACCGGCCTCGCTCCGTTCCCACGGCTCTCGGCCCCGCCCCTCTCATCACAAACTGTATTTGTATTAACTAATGTAAACAAAGATGAATAAATACTGTAATAAATGTTCATTGTTTGTTCATGTTAGTTAACTCATTAAATGACACCTTATTCTAAAATGTTACCAATATTTTTTATTTGTGAACTTATGTTCAGCTGTTCTTTTTAATAGTCAACTTATTTTGGGTCATCGTCATAAAAGCTCTGTAAACACTGCCACAGACACGAAGATAAATCTTTCATTTTATCACGCTGAATGCTCACTAAAAACTGACGGAGTCGTCGCGTTTTCAGACCATTTCAAGTTTTATTTTGACGTGAAACAAAGTAGTGGTATCAAAGTAGTGGGAGAGTTGTCGCCATCATTTTCTTCATTCAGACCAAGAGCTCGCACGAAAACAAGAGGCGAGATTTATCACACGAATCAATCACATCCAACCTTAACAGATCATATCCAATTATAGCGTGATGGAGGCATTGCCTCCTCTCACGTGACTTTCCCCCATTCATCTGAATGAGCATCCAGAAAAGTCACGGCACGCTAAGGGGTCTCTGTAGACAGTCAATGGACCGAAGGGAGTCAAGCCTCTGCTGTAACTTTACCTGTGGGTGTCGCTGTTGGACAGTGTTACTTTATAAAAACGAGTGACTTTTAGACTTTTAATAACATATTTAGTCATATTTGCGCTGTTTTATTTTTGTAATATCGATTATTTTCTCATCCAACTTTCCAATGGCCTAGGATGGCTTGAGGTTGAGTAAATAATGGGCTAAATTTCATTTTTGGGTGAACTATTCCTTTAAGTAGAGCCTCAGCTCCCTTGGGGTTTAGAGCCTGGGTGATGAGAGTTACTGGGTAAACAGCATTATGTCCTGCTCTCGTTTGCCTCCATTTCCTGTGTAAAAGGAAAG